TTTATTTTTGAAATTTTATTTTTTGTTTGTGTCGACAACTTGTACATTAATTTTTATTAATTAATATTTGACTATATAAATAATATTTTCAAATGCTAATTTTCTACTTCTCTGTAGTTGGCATAAATTTAAAATTAATATTTGAATATTGATCTTATAACTGCAGACCTCACTTAACCTCACTCACTCTCCATTTTCATGTAAAGTCATTCGGGATTTTCTTATATGATAATGCCACCTGCCAATAATGACACAGTTTTTTCTATGATGCACTATAATGCACAACTATAATGACTGCTTTCATTTTTTAAAATATTTAATATAGCTTGAGATAGTTAATCTAAAAAGCAGTGTAAACAGGTTAGGTCTTAGAAAATGAAACTTTCTGGAGGCTGACTCTATCTAAATGTAAAGAATATCACTGTGGTAAACACTAACTACAAAACTGGAATTTCTTGGTGTTGGAAGAAATTGGCTGTTATGTACAGAATTTAAGCATCTATCAGAGACTCTATTTAAGACACGCTTTCATCCAATAGAAGGTAGACTTGACAAATTCCAGGTCAGTTTTCAGTTCTCAAGTTATACAAGTGAATAATGTCTGACTGAAAAAATTACATAGAATTCATTTGCAATATAACTAGCACTAGTCTTTTGGAAGTTTAGTGTTGAGGAAAGAATAGAGACAAGGAGACTTGCGGGCCAATGTGATCAGGTGGGAGTTTATGAGAATTTGTGTTACTACAACGGCATTGGGAATGAAGAAGGAAGGAAGAAATTCTGCCTCTGCACACATGCATGCAGACATACGAAGCTCGAGGGGATGGGAAGCAATTGTCCACAAGGCTTGATCTTTGGTGCCTGGAACTGAAAGAAGATTATTAGACCAGATAGCATACAAAAACATTGCCTTTATCTGAATGTCCACTGCTTTTATTGGAGGTGTGTAGACTTTGAAACAATTTATGGCAATGAAACTAACCTTTGGACTCAGCAGACCTCCATTTCAGGGTGGCAGAAGTTCTTGGCATTTGCCTTGGACTTAGGAAAGTCAGTCACCAGAGGCCAGCCAGACCCTGCATGCTTTCTTCACTGACCCCCAGGAGTGTTTGTATTTTGTCATCTGAAAAGAATGAGACAGGGATTTCTGTTAGATCTCTGGAGAATTAATAAACATTTAAATAAACCTTAATTATAATGTGCGTTCTCATAGTGGGTATTGATTTATGTTACAGCAGTATTAGGGCTTTATAGAAAATTATATCAAATGCTGGTGTCTAAAATACTAGTCAGCATCTTATATTCTTTGAAAATGAGTCATATGGTCACACATTCTTTATATTTTAGTAACACAATCTATACTGAGTATATTCCTTTAGTAAAAAGTTCAGCATTTTAGTCATGTACTTATCAGAGCAGTCCTTATGCATGTTTCTTTGTGCATCCAAATCTGCTTGCCAGTATTGAGTCAACACCTCCACATGTATCTTCTTGGTCTTTCTCTCTTTTTCTTTTCTTT